TGAGCAGGGATGGTGTGAGATGGGGCTTGAAAAGCAGGCAGCTTGTACATCCCGCACCCCACCCGGCTGTGGCACGTGGCTCCTCCATCCAGGGGCTCTGGGGACAGAGTCTGGGAGGAGGGCAGAGAGGCCCAGGGTGCAGGAAGAGCAGGTGGTGACTTCCCAAAGCCACCCAGGAAGGCAGGGCCAGGTGGCTTCCTGGAGGAGGGGCCTCCTGGAATGCAGAGAGCTGTGCTGCTCTTGCCAGGGGCCTGCATCTGAATCTGGGTTCTTCTGTGACTTCCTACGCACCTCCCACCTTCCCGGGGCACCTTCCTGAGTTCCTCAGGTGCAGCTATCCAACATGGTCATGAGGGACCCGAGAGAGGGGAGGCCTTGGGTTGCCAGGAGCTCAGGAAGATGGCAGTAGCTCCCTACATCCAGAGGCCACATCCTAAGGAGCATGGTGCCAGAAGGGGACCAGTCTCAAGTGGGGGAGGAAGAATCTAAGCACCAGGGAGCTAAGGAGAGATTGTATCAGACCAGAAGCTCCCCACAGAGCAGGGGCTTTGTGGGACCTGGGGTCTAGGGCTCCCTCTTCATAGCCATGTGAGTCTTTGGGTGAATTTTCACTGTCCCCAAGTCACGCCGCCCTTGGGCCTTACTGTCCCGTGATGCATGCTGAGATGAGCATGGATGAAATAATATGACATCTGGGATTCACTTCAAAATAACCTGGTGGCTGGAGGGATAAAAGGTTTCTAAGAAGTGCAGTTGGCCCTGAGGTGATGGTGGCTGCCATGTTGCAGGGCCCTTGGCACTGGTCTCTCTTCTGTTTCTAGGTCCACTCCCTGCCTGGGCCGAGCCCTGAGGCCTCAGCTTGTCCCAGACTCGGCCACCAGAGGGAGCCCCTACACCCTCCTGGGTGGGGCTCACACAGGAACCCTGGTCTGTAAAACCAGGTAGCTCAGTAGTGGCCGGGCTCCTCCTGCTGCTTAGCTCCTGGAGGGCCCAGCTCCTGCAGCCCTCACCTGTACCTCACATGAATCTGCCTGGATCGTAACTTGTATTTTTTTCATTGTTCACCTAAAACTCAAACCTAGCATGTCCTGAACTACAGAGGCAGGCCTACTGCCAACAGGCCATATCTCCCACCAAAACAACCACAAAGTCCTCTATTTTAAAACAGGACCTCACTGTGTAGCCCAGGCTGGCCGCAAGCTCACAAGACTGCCTCAGCCTCCCAGGGCTGGAATTATAGACATAGTCCACCGCACCCAGCCCAAATTGTAATCTTTATGGCCCCGGTACCCCTCCCTGAAGACAACTGCCCAAAAGCAGCTTCTAAACTGCTTAAGCCCCTTGTCTGATTGCAAAGGTTTCAGGACCTTTTAGAGCGTACAATCTGCCTGGCCACTCATGGCTGGCATGCAGGAGGACAGAGAAGCAGGTGCCTCCTGACTGTGAGAAGCCAGCCTTTTCAGCTCCCGCTTCCCCCCGACAGTGGGCAGGGCTTGGCAGGAAGCAAATGTGCCAGGGCCTCGGCTGGCAGCCCCCCCTGAGATGTGCCCCATGGTGGCAGGAAGAGGGGCCCTGTGCCAGCCGCCTGCTGCCCCCATGGCCTGGGGTCCAAGTAAACATTTGACCAGCTCGGCCCCAGCCCTCGCCCACGCCAACACTTGGACCTTGTTCCTGACTGGCCCCTCTGTCTCGTCCTCTGTGGCTGGCATCTCAGCAGGGCCCCGGAGGCCTGGGTGACCCTGAGCCCGTTCTGAAGACGGGCCCAAGGGAGCAGTCCGGCAGCGTGGGGAGCCCAGGCAGACAGGCCGGCGACAGTAAGGCAGCCACCCCCCAGACACCCAGAGTGGGCCACAGGCTGCGCAGCCACAGGGTGACAGGGAGCTGGGGACGGGGGCGCCAGTGACACGGCTGCTTTGTTCTGCACTGGAATGGTCTGAGCGACTGACCAGGGCTCCTTCTTTGCTAAGAAGCCACAGATAAGGCCGGCGACAGGGTCTGATGATGGGGCTGTCACAGGCTTCCTCTCAGACAGGCCCCATGTCTGAGGTCAGCCCTCCTGGGGTCCCTGCCCTCTGTGCTCCAGGCCTCAGGGGTCCTCAGAGAGCACCCCCTGACCCTAGGATCACTCCTGTGAAGAGAGGGGCAGATGGGGCTGAGGTCCCGGAGCTCCAGAGTCGCCCTGTACACACACCCTTTCATGTCACCAGCGTCCCCCAACGCCAGCTTCTGTGATGGGCACAGGGATGGGGACAAATCAGACAAGGTCCAAGAGCACAGGGGCTTCAGGAAAGAGCAGGCTGAAGATCTGACCCACCCAGGCCCCTCCCAGCCCCAAAGGGACCCTGCCGGAGGAAGGGGGACTTTCTGAGGGACTGAGGGTTCCTGGGATGAGACAGCCCCAAAGGCCTTCTGCCAGGAGTCACCAGGCAGATGGAGGAGGTGCCCCAGGGAGATCTGGATCGCACTGCCCAGCACTCAGGGGGGCAGGTGCCCCGTAGGCCCTGCCCGGGAGGATGCCCCTGACAGCAGCAGTGACTCCTAGGGGCATCTTGGTGGCCACCCAGCAGGTGTGGGCCAGGGCGGTCAGCCTGCCCTGTGGCAGCTGCAGTGAGGCCTTCCTGCAGTCCCCAGAGGGACCAGGCTGGTCCTGCAGTGTGGCCCAGTGTGGTCAGGGTTGGTCTCTGCCCTGTCTGGAGCTGCAGCCCGACGGCCAGAGGGCCTGATGCCTCCATGCCTGGCAGGAGAAAGGCGGCTCCCAGGTGGGCAGAGAACAGCAGAGTGCGGTTGCCACATTCCTGCCCCTGGGGACCTGGGCCTTCGCCACACAGGACCCCCAGAGCCTCCCTCCAGGCCCGTCCCCAGGCCCCTGAAGTCTTCTCCCCACCTTGGAGGCCCCAGCCAGCCAGCTCTTGGGGAAGCTCCAGGCCTGCACCCTGCCCCAGGCCGCCCTACACCTCGGTGGTCCCGTTATGCCTCCTCTCCGCCTGCCCTCCCACCCCTGGCACCCACGACCCTGGAAGCAGGTCTGTCCTCAAGCGTTCACCGCCTGCATCAGCCCAGCTCCACCCCCAGGGACTTCTGGTCCTGGGAGAAAGCAGGCGGAGCTGGAGCAAGGGACCCATGGTTAAGTGAGGACAGAGCAGGTCGGGAGGGATTGACCAGGCAGCACACGTCAAGATGCGAGCCCAGACCACGCAGGTGGGCAGAAGCTGTTGGCCACGTGTGGGGGGCTACTGTAACCCTGAGAATGGAGACTCGGGGATGCCAATGAGGGTCTCTCTGCCTGCACCTGGTGGAAAAACTGCTCACCCCTCTTCTGTGCAGGGTGTCAACGGTCCCAGGCTGAGCCCAGGAGGGGCCCTGACCAGTGGGTGGAGAGGGAGGCTGGCTGGAACCCAGGCAGCTCGGCCCTCAGCCTCTCCTCCTCCCCCACTGCAGGCTTCCTGGGTGGCCTTGGTGAGCCACAGCCTCACGCTGGGCTTGGGACGGTGGGGTGGCCGGGTAGAAGCAGAGGGGACACTGGCTGTGGCCCAGGCAGGTGGGGTGGCGCAGGGGGTGAGTCTGGCCCTGGAGCTCTCTGGGGGTGAGGGGCTGGAGCTTTCGCTCAGGTAGGAGATCCGTGTCGCCCCCACTTCTGTCGCCCCCACTTCTGGGTCTCTGCCACACAGCAGGCCCCCAGACCCGAGGGCCAGCCAGTTACCAAATTCTGTGATGACAAACACTGTAATTTTCTCATCACCAAGCACAGCAGCAGAAAAAGTAAACCAAAATTAAGAAAAAAAAAAAAAAAAAAAAAAAA